AGACATTCAGTGCATCTGGATCAAGAATTTGTTTAATTTTGAATAGGAAATGGTTTAGCGGAAGCGTGGTCCACTTGGAGCTGCAAGATGGTGGCTGAAACCCCCTTGGCTTGCTTGTCAAGAGCAGAGATGACAGGACAAGGGTCAAGTTTGAACTTGTACCTCCTCCTTTCCTCCATTGTGAGCAGTGGTCTTTTGTCCCACATGAAACTGCAGTTCTGTTTCATTTTTGAAAATCTGGCAGGGATCGGGCAAGAAAGGCCAGCATACGCTGTGGAAAGTAAGGTGTGCCCTAGGAGATTTCTTGCACTTCTCTGCTCCGCAACACGTCTTACTCCGGTTTGTTGTCCGGGGTAACTTGCTTGATGGTCTTGTAGGTAGGTAAAGTATAATAATCTTTTATTGATCTTTTGGTAGGTAATACTCTAATTCTCTATATCTAACAATTCTTTAGGCTAATACACAATTGACTCCCAAGTCACTCTGTTTTTCTGTTATGTTCTGAGTCATAAGCTTTTCCTCCCCCTTCCTCTTCCGCTCCGAACTCCACTCTTTCCAATTATCCCACACTCAAGTTTCCTCCTGCTTCCCACAATGTCCTCCGCTGTCACTCCCTCGGACTCCGCTCGTCACCCCTCCAACGCCTGTCAGTCCAGGTACTCCTCCGGCCGCTCATGGACAGGTCTCTCACCGCCGCTTCCGCCTCTGGCTTGCTCCAAACCCTGCTTCCGCCCCTCGGTTCCCCCGCTCCTTGTAGCCCCTCCGCAGTATGCGCTGAAACCCCCATTCCGCAGTCGGCCGTGAACTCCGGCGTCTGCCAGTTCCCGGATTCCCCGCAGCAAGCTTTTTGGAACCTTGCGCATCCGGCCTGCTTTTCCCCGCTCTCCTGCGCCTCAGAAAGGTAGACTTTCCACTAATGCACCGCCGCTTTCCTCAGCTTGCGTGTGTAGCATCAGCTCCGCATGCATTCCGCATCAGCCGCAAGCATTCCGCATGCACCCAAACAAACCAGCCAAAGCTTTGGTCAAGGCGCGCTCTTGCCACCACAACACTGTGTCTTCTTCCGGGTGTTGGGCTTCCGCCATAGCTAACTTGTCTGCCTGTTTGTTTGCTGTAATCCCCTCATGGCTGGGACACCAATAAAGTGAGCCGGGATTCCTAAAGAGCGAAGGGATGAGAAATTGTCAGCAAATAAGTGTTGCCCTGGGGAGGGCTGCATCGGGTTGGCTGATCGGATTAGGGCACCCTGGTTATCACTGAAAATTGTGACTCTTTTAAATTTGCCGGGCCATGCAGACCAGATGATCCTTTTCACCAATCTGATGGCTAGTCCATTTCCAACCAGCTCCGCTTCATAATTGGATATCAAGTGGTGAGAGGGGATTTTGACCGAATCAGAGAAAGAGCAATTCAGGGCTGCAGCGGCAGCACCCGCACCAGTGCCCAGGATCAAAGAGCGATTGGTGAAGACCAGGAGTGAGTCAGCTTCTATTTCCCTGTTGATCTGGCTCTGGACCACTTCAACCGCTGTGGAACTACTCTTGGGAGGAATAGAGCTTGAGAGGGATGGATGCTTTAATGGGCTGCCTCTCTGATAACAAGAAAATATAAGAGTATGGACTCTTAAGGAAAGGTGTGGCTTTGGAGATTTCTTGAGGATGGTATGTCTAATGTTTCTTATGTTTACTAGTCTAAATATACTTGTTCACAAATCAAGGTATCCCAAATGTTGATGGGCATATACCTGGCTAATAATGGGTGATCAGTTATCTGAATTGATGGGGCAGGATCTGATAAGGAACAAATGAAGAGGAAAAACAAAGCTCCTTATATACAAAACTCTGGGGAGTGGCCAGCTTGTGGTTGGAAGATAAATGGAAAATTCTATGGAGAGTATGAAACAAGGGAAAATATTTATCCAGAGAAAACAGGGGAAACAAGCAGTGGGAAAATGCTCCAAAGGTTACTAGTATGAAACAACTAAGGGGTGGAATATTCAGTGGA